GCGTTCCGGAGCCCTCCGCTCTTTGCGTTTGTGCTGGGCTGGCCCCTCCTCCGGAGGGGCCGGGGCGCTGCGGGAAGGGATGCATTCAGCGCCAGTGGCTGCAGGCGAGGCGGGGCCCGCGCCGCTTCCTTAAGGCTGGGACGGGCCGGCAGCGCCCGGCGCAGCGAGCGGCAGCGCGGCCGGCCCGGAGCGGTGCCGGCGGCCGAGGTAGGAGCGGGCCGGGAGGGGATGCGGCTGTGGCCGCCTGCGCTCCCTGCCCGGAGAAGGGGCCCCGGGGCGGGATGGCTGCGGAGCGGTGAGGGTGGGGGGGTTCGCTGTCCGCTGAACTTTGTTCACGTGTCTGAAAACTGCTTTGAAAGGAAGGGTCGGTGTCGCACTTTGGCGATTGAAGGGTCGGTGTCATATTTTGGCGATTGGAGGCGGAAAGCCGGGACGAAGAAGACTTCCCTGGGCATCAGGTAAAGGCTACCGGACCGCAGGGCAGATGCGCGAGGGCTGGCGGCCAAGGGGTGATTCACTCTGGCTTGCTGGAAGTTTCAGGTGATGTTCCAAAGTCGACTCATGAGTAATCTTTGAGTAGATTTAAGCAAAATGAGTCTGCTGGACCAGCCTTATCGGAGTCCAGAGTCCCGCGGGGCGGGCAGGGGGCCGAGGAGCCGCCGGAGCTTTGCGCAGCTTCCGCCGGGTGCTGCTGTGTGGGGAGGATGTAACGCGGCTCATGCTTCCTTTAGAGATCCTCTGTAGAGCTGAGAGCTTGCTTTACTCATATCTTGAACTAAAATAATGGGGCGATAGTAGGGCGTGGTACTGGGGGAGTGTTGTTCTAAACCATTAGTTGGAAATTACTACTACAAAGTATTAAAAGCGTGCCATCAAATTTCATGTCACGTTGTAAAATAAATAAAGCTTTATGTCCTTGCTTCAGAGAAGATCTTTGAGGCTGTATAAAAGAATTCAGAACCAGTCATCCAGTTAGGCTATCCTAAAATATTTTTTTTTCTCTCTGCTCTATTTATACAAAGTAACAGAAACAGCATTGTGAAGCTAGGGGAAAGCAATAAAAAGGGTTTTTTCCTAAAACACAAAGAGAAAATGTATAGAAAGGCTTTTTCCAGTGAGAAGTAAAGAATTTCAGACAGTACAGTGCAGGGTAGATGCCGCCGAGCATGGTGCGCTTCTGTAGGCAGCGCGGGTCAGTCGCGGGGAGCGGTCCCGTTGGAAAGCTCCTCCCGGGAGAGCGGCCCGAGGCGCTGCCCGCAATCCCGTGGCCTTGGCAGGCGCTCAGCCTGCGCTCAGGTTTCCCGGAGCGGCTCTGTTGTGCTCTCGGAGTCCGGGAGCTCCTGCCTGGGTGTGGAGTATCCAGTGTTTGTCCTGCCGGGCTGCCTGCGGAGAAGGTTGGGTGGGAGCAGGGATGACGTTTGTGATATTAAACTGTTACTGCTGGGAGAGGAACGGGACCTTCAACGAGCGTCACCGAGCACCTCGCCCCTGAGTGCAAGACCGCAGTTTTTGCTGGCACTTGAGTACAGCACTGGGATGCATTCAGTGCATTTTTTAAACAGTAGTTCTGTGACCAAATGTAGAAAGTTTGACCAGAGGGCTTTGAGCACTGACCAGCACATTCCAAGCCTAATGATTCATGCTTACAGTTTAAAACAGAGGCTGCAGGTTTGCAGTTCAATTGAATATTAGTCTTTCTTGCAACTGCCTTGCTGTGTCATTTTTTAAAACTTGAGAGAAGGATTTGAGTAGTGCACTATTTGACAAAAGAGGTCACTGGATTCAATGCTTATTTGAACTGACAGAGTAGAAGCTGTTGCATAGTTGGCAGATTAGCCATTCTCTATGAGATAATAATTCTCTGTGAATTCATACCTGCTGGTAACTGCTGTTTCATTTGCCCAGTGTGGATTCTGGGTGAGTTCAGACAGGTGAGGGAGTTTGGGAATGGTGTGCAACCCTACAAACCAAACATTTTAAAGATTTTTGTCTAAGCTGATGATGTCTAAGCTGACACAGGCTGTGGGCACTGCCTACATCCCAAGAGGTCCAGCTGTTGAGATGCCATTATATGAGTTCCTCTGTCATGAGCTGTCTGATGAGCAGTCCTTGTTCCTTTCTCCACGGAACGCAGGTAAATTCAGGGTGGATTTTTCATTTCAGCCTTCTTACACTGTAGGAATTGCATGTTTCTGGAGCAGCCACAGCAGGCATGTCAGCACCTCAGCAGGACTCAGGTATTGGCATCCTGGTGAATGTCACGAGGGGAGTAGAACAGAATTTAAGAGAAACTTCTTACTTGGCTGTGCAGAATTTTTTTAAGAAGTGGAGGAAAAAAACTGGTAACACCCATGTTTTCACTTCCTGGAGAGCAATCTCTCTTGCCCCACGTTTTTTGTTTTGAACTGAAAGGTGGTACTACCCACTTCATCAGGCTGTAGAACATTTCATTGTTTGGGTTTTGTAGGAAGCAGGTCAGCTGTTTATCTGGGTACTTGCTTCCATAGAATCATGGTTACTCAGCTGGGAATATAATAATTCCTTAAAAGTGTTTTGAGGAATAAAACTGAATTTTACTGGAAGAGCTTGTGGGTTACCTCCCTTATCCTGAAGGGAAGAGCACTGGAGTAGATGTGATAAGACGTGTTTGCTCTCTCTCTGCAAGGGTGAAGGTTGCACAAGAGGAGATGGGATGGGGAGCAAGGTTCCACGCTGGCTGCAGGAGCTGCTGGGCTGGGTGCTGTGCTGCTCCTGCCCAGCTCCAAACGAGTTCTCTGCCCACAGTTCTGTGAACACACGTGTTCAGTGCAAAAAATAATTTTGTCTTGGTCAGATGAAGTTTCTTTTGAAACATTGTCAATTTAGCTTGTTGCTGTTTAAAATTAAGTATTTACTAATTTCTAATGTTCCCCATGAATTGAGAAGTAGCTCCCCTGTGCTCCTTGTTGCTTTTCTTTGAATTTTGATAGGATTTTGGCTAACTCCTTTCAGCATTTTACTATACAGATGGCATCATTTTTGTTGTGTAGGAGTTTCTTGTGCCAGCCAGAGAAAGACTAAATGATATTTTAAATAGGAAAACAAAAAGAGTTGGCACAAAGCTCAGGGAGGAAGGAGTATATTTTGAGTGCTTTCATTGATCTTAAATTTCCCTTCTTTCAGTTAGCTGGGTTTCTTTTTTCATCTGCAGTTGTTAAAATTCAGCTTGAACAACACGCACACACATCTTGGAACTTCCTGACACACAGAATACCATATAGAGGTTTTCTACCCGAGAAAAATACTCTACTGCAGGATCTCCAGAGGTGTTTCTAGGGAGTATGTGTAATATTTGGAGTTGAAGGCCAATCAAAATACACAATTACTGCTTGAATATTTACCTTTTGAGGCCTGACTAGGATGCCATTAGCTAGTTAATTCTAGCTTTTCCTGCTGGTCCTCCCACTCCTCTGCCTTATCCCTGTTACAATACAAGCCTTTCCCTCAACCAGAGCAACAGTGCTCTTTTTGATCTACTCTGTTAGCCACAGAGTTTTCATGGTGCTTAGAAGGCTTTGGAAACAAGGAGAGGGTTTTTTTGTTTGTTTTCAGCCCAGATTTAGCAGAAAGCAGAAGTGAAATGGAACCACTAGAGAGTCAGCCCTGAAATTGTTCTGAATATTTGGTTTAATCTTGAGGTGAGATGTAGCTCTCTGACTTCCACTTCTTGAAGCAGGGCTCAACAATCCAAACCTAGTCACCAATGTTTGAGCTGTGTTCTGTAGGAGTAGAGAGGGAAATTTCTCTGTATATTTAGAATGCTTAGACAGAAACAGTGCAGCCTTTGGTCTTCAAAAATCAAAACAGCTTCCATTCCTACTGTTTTGTATTTTAGTTCTACTAGACATAGAACTGTGACAGTACTGAAAGTCACATAATAGACACATAAAACTTCTTTTCTACCCAATTCTCAAGCTGGCCCTCAAACTGGCTTTTTTTTAATGTGTCTGGTTATTTGTAGAAGAATGTCCATTACCTGTTCCCTTAACTGAGTGTTTTGAGATGGAAGGAGATTTCCGCAGATGGATGTTTGTGTCTGGCAAGAGTTGTAAAACAGAAAGACATTCCTTTCTGTTCTGTTTTGTTCTTTACAAGCTGGACACTAAGAGCAGGAAAGGATTTTTGGTGCCCAACGGTCCAGAACCTCTTAGCAGCTGCTGCTGCACTGCAGAATTGAAGCTGGGAGTTATCTCCTCCTCCTCCTCTTCCTCCTCCTCCTCTTCTCCACCCCACTCCTCCTCCCAGCCTTGCATTCAGGCTGGCGCTGGGATGAGCTGTGCAAGGCCAGCTGGCTGCTCCTCTCACTAGAGCATTGCTGCCCAGCAGCCTGGGACAGACTGCAGGGTGTTTTTTGGGGATTTGGGCTTCAATGGCCACCTGGACTAGCAAGAAGCAAGGACTGCTCATATGGACAGCTCATTTTTATCGTGTGCAGAGTCGGCTTTGTAGTGGGATGTTGAAATATGACACAATGCTTGTTTGTTTGCAATAGCTGCAACTCTCGTAGCAGAGATTCAAGTGGGAAACAGAGAGGGAATCCAGAGACAAACCAGCGGGGGATTTAGGAACTGTGACGCCGTGTCCTCTCTCCTATGCCGGAGCAAGCAAAGTAAAGAGAGGTAGAGGAAAAAAGACTGAGCCTTGCAACAGCCGTCACCCTGACGATGTGTCAGTCAAACACCCTGCAGGGACCAGAGCTCCACACAGGGAAATGGTGAGATGCTACAAAGCTTTATCTAACCCTCCACCCTCTTGCTACAACCTCCGCAAAGTTAAAATTCATGTCCGGAGGCTGCGTTCAGGGAACGGCGGCAGCAGCAGCTGTGCCGGGGACCAGCACCCACAGCTGGAGAGTCCAGGCCCAGCTGCCTCTGCTGGTGGGACACCAAGTAGGAGAACTCGTTTCAGGTACTGTTCAGTATTTTCTGCTTTGCAGGATTGGTGACTGAAGCGGGAGGGAGGCTGGGAGGGTTTCTGGGCAGAAGGAGCGGGAGCCATCTGCGAAGCTTTTGTTTGGCCTAATTACTATAAAGCTCCTTATACATTGTATTGGCAGAGAAGGGCATGCTGTTCCATGACAAGGGGAATGGGAAAGCTTTCATTCCTTTCCCTTCTACTCTCTGTCACTAGGAGAATGGAAAAATTAGTTGAGGGGCCGCTCTGAAACCAGGCCAAGGCAGTGAGAAGCCCGAGGGCTCCAACGCGATGCAGCTCTGCAGGGATTGGTCCAGGAGCGACTGCAGTGAAGGGGGGGAGAGCAGCAGGAGGGGGAGAACGGGACCCAACCCGGCTCCTGGCCCGCCAGCCCTTGCAGGCTGCCGGGTGGTAGGGATGGGAGGGAGAATGGGAAGTGTCCCTTCCTATTCCCATGTCAGTCAATCTTACCTCCCGCTGAGAAGCCTGCATTAACTCTGCTAAGACAGCACTTCTGCTCAGGGTTCTTTTTCACCGTTGCATTAAGATGCACAGATCTTTCTCTATTTACTAGTTCTTCAGGGGAAAGAAGTTGTGTTCACTGCAGAAAAAACATCTCTGAGCCAAAAGCACCATCTTGCATCCCAAAGTGGTGACAGTTATACCTGTCTGCCTGATATTTCAATTCTGATCCAAGTTTTGAAAAGAACTAGTTGGCAAGAAAATTTCCTTTAAAATTCTCAGCTTCTTTCCATCTTGGAAAGACATACACAGTATTTTATAGTTCCTCTTAAATGTCACAGGATCCCTTGAGAGAGTGAGCTGTTGGGAGCAGGCAGACTGTGCCACTTCAGTTTGTGTGCGCACGTCGCTCTGTCCTGGTTGCAGAACTGTCTCCTAGCCAGGACTTCAGTCAGTCATTTAAATAGTTTGCCCTCAGGTAGACAGATTTCCATTTGATAATGAGACCTTGTAAATGCCAGTGGTTTTTTTCATGAGTAGAAGCCAAACAATAAATGAGGACCTGAAGCTTTTGCATCCAGACCTCCTGCAAGGGTCTGGACTGAGGCCCTGTCCTCTGCTAAGAAGCTGAGTAGCTTTTCCCTGTGAGAGAAGGTCAACTTCTCCTCGTGGTCATTAGTGCAAAATGAGGTCTCTCTCAGTCAGGACATCCATGTAACAAAAAAAATCAAGAGATACAGCTGGGTATGAGGCAGGGGAGTTGATTATGGGGCTGTGGAGACTAGATTGTTGTGCCTAGTAGAAATATTGGCTTTGTCCACATGTTCCCTATTTGGAACCAGGATACTCACTGAAGGCTTTAAGACCTGGAAACTGGTCTTACCTTCAATTTTTGAGGGTGTCATTCCTCAAATGTGACCTGTGAGGGTGAACACCATTATTTAGATGGAAGACTTATTTTTAGATAAACTGTTCTTCTATTTTGGGAAGGGGGAGAACTGATCGAAATCAAGGAGTAAAGACTTGTAGTATCAAAGATTAAGAAACGTTTAGCAGGAATAACTCACCCCAGCTTGGGAAGCTGAGATGCCTGACCCTCTGATGTTGTGTATGTAATCTTTCAGGTTGCAATTCCCCCAGCTGGCCCTGAGGCGAAGGTTGGGCCAGCTGAGCTGTATGTCTAGGCCTGCTCTGAAACTCCGTTCTTGGCCTCTGACTATTCTCTATTACCTTCTGCCTTTCGGTGCTCTTAAACCCTTGACCAGAGTGGGATGGAGGCCTATGAGCAGGGTAAGTGTGAGCAGGTTGTGTGCCATGTCTGGGAGCTGTGTCCTGGAGGAGCTGGCAGCAGCTGGGGGGAGAGCTGCTGCATGCAGGACAGCCTGGTGATCACTGGTGTGAAAGAAGCAATTCGTGCTTCTCTTTAGTTTTTGCTGTGGTTGTGTTGATCAGCTGCCTCACAGACAAGTGACTTTTTCAGGAGCAGAGAATTACTTTGTCCTCTAACAGTCAGGGAAAGTCAACAGAAATTTCTGAAGGAATTCAGTCACCTCACAGTATCAGGGCTAGGACAAGGAAGACCAAACCTTTTGGCAAGTTCCTTTTCCTGGTCCTGTTGAAATGGTCTCTTGTTTTTTGTTATTTTCACACCAAGAGAGTTTGTTCCTCAAGTTCATTGAGCATTTGTAGTCCAGCATGTCCAAATGATACACAAATCTCTGCTCTGACACTGCTGAGAGCGGCATATGGGATGCCTTGCATGTAGTAATTCTCCCCACAAATCATGCAATTTCAGAATCCAACAACCAAGTAAGTATTTTGATTGCAAACAGGAACAAAATTGCCATTCTTAAGCCTATTTCATTGAACATCTGTTCTGTTTGATCCCATCAGCTTGAAAACCAGGCTCCATTGAAGAGAAGGGGCTGCTAGGAAATACTGATTTTGACAGTTGGTGTGATTTTATAGTTGTGTGTACATTTTCAGTGTTGGTGGAAAACAGAAAGTTAATTTTTAGAAATTAATCCAGTATAGTATGTCAAATAAAATGGCAATATTTTTTCTTCAGTCCTTCAGCTTATATAATCTAAAGCACTGTTCATTTAGAAGGTTTTATCTGAAGTAAGATTAGGTTGGTACTTCCTTTCTGAAATATCTCTGTATGTACACAGGATGGTTATTTGTAAGTGAAATCTTAATTTGCTGTATTTGGTCTGACGGAGCCAGTGCATACTTCTGTTTGTGTTTATGCCTGTGTTTTGCAAGACTTAATAATTAAGGATATGATTGAGAACAAATGACTCTCACTAAGAAAAATCCCAAGGTTTATCTGCAAGTTGAATATAGCTGTTCAAAAACACCAGTCAGCAGATCATCACTTCCTTTGCAAAGCTGGTTTCAGAGTGTTCAGTTCCCTTGGTCCATATTCCCCAGCTTCCCCCAGTTACATCATAGCCATGTGAGCTTCCTGGCTGACAGCAAGTACCACAAACCCCAGAAGAGCTGTCTGCTGGAATTATCAACAGAAAGATGTTGTCATCTCTCCACTTCCATCAACAGCAGATAACTCTTGCCAACTTTGTTTCATTTGTTTTCCTTGCTAAAACTTGGGTTTTAGTGCAAGTCCAAAGGTGTATTTCTAGAGAAATAAAGGCACTTAATATTCTTGTAATTAGCAACTCTCATTGTCATGAGAGAAGGAGTAAGGCTGGTATAAGTTTATACCTGTGTAGCTGCATTCAGTGGGTACATTTCTTTGAGGGTACTTCTGTCATTAGAGCATACAACACATTACTGGGTGTGGGAAACACCTTCAGTAGCAGCTGCATCTGAGGAACATGTCATCCAACACTGAGAAGTATTTTCCAGTCAATTTTCATTTAGTTATTCACAAAAGTTTATACATTGGTAATGTTAAACCTTTTTGATTAGCATTCTACTAGAATATGTGCAATGTCTCTTTTTTCTGTAAGCCCCACATTGGGCAGTTTCCAGTAACTTCAGTGTGGAGCTTCAGCCTGCAAGGGAGTGGAAATTCTGGCTTCACTTTAAAATTATATTAAGTTTCGTCCTGTCTCTTACCTATTCTCACCAGAATGGAGGGAATGAGGATGAAGTGCAGTGTAAATTTTTTGCTGTCTTAAAGGCTTCTTGTAACCCATGAATTCAAGGGAGGGCTTTGCAGGAACAGTTTGATCCTTCCTGTGTTACGGGGAGAAGTAAGGAAGCCTTCAGTGAGGAGAACACTGACGTGCAATTCTCCCTGCAGGTTGCCCTGTACAAGTCGGTGCCAACGCGGCTGCTGTCCCGAGCCTGGGGTCGCCTGAACCAGGTGGAGCTGCCCACGTGGCTGCGGAAGCCGGTGTACAGCCTGTACATCTGGACCTTCGGGGTGAACATGAAGGAGGCAGCTGTGGAGGACCTGCATCACTACAGGAACCTCAGCGAGTTCTTCCGCAGGAAGCTGAAGCCACAGGCGCGGCCGGTGTGCTGCGTGCACAGTGTGGTGAGTGAAAGGAAGGGAGGGTTCACCCAGCACTGCCAGTCCCTCAGCCCCCAGAGCAATGGCACTGCTTCGGGAGGAATTCATCAACTGCTAACTGTTCCCGTTTGTTCTCTTTGCTGTAGATTAGTCCCTCTGATGGAAAGATCCTTAATTTCGGACAGGTAAAAAATTGTGAAGTGGAGCAAGTAAAAGGGGTTACTTATTCTCTGGAATCTTTCTTGGGACCTCGCATCTCCACAGAGGAAATGCATTTTAGCCAGGGTGAGTTCTGTGTCAGTTCTGCTGTGCCCTTTCAGTGTTCTCAGAAATCATAAGACTAAGAGAGATGAAAAAAAGTAACATTTTCTTGCATTGTCAGGAACAAAAGCAGGTCTGACTTTTTGTTTTATTTGCGGGTAACCATGTTGCTGTTCTAGTTCTTCTGTTTCTCACCAGTGGCTTTATGTAGTCATGCCTGGCTCATTCTGATTATCTGAACTGAGTTGTTTGGTTCCTACACTCAACTCCGAGATCTGTTGCTATACCATGGCTGCAGCAGTCCTGCTGTCACACTGAAATGGGCCCAAGCACTGGCTAGCAAAAACTGGATAAGCTGCTCCTTAACAAGATCCATGCTCTAGCACTACCCCTCTAATGATTTAGAGGACTCTCCACAAATTATGTTCTTAAAGGGTAGCTTTAATAAAAATTCCGTTGTACTGGATTTCAGTTTCTGCTATTTTGCTTAGGGAAGGACAAGCTCCAAAAGAAAATTTTTCACTGTTATTGAAACAGTCCAGCATCTAATTTTCTTGGAAAGGGAAAGGAACATTTAGAAATATTGGATTTCTGCATGAAACCTATGTTTGTAGTCTCACCAATCACGTGGGCTGCATTTAATCCTCTACTATTGCATTGGCTGTAACATAGACTGCCTGGCTACTGTAGATGACTTCAGGAGGAATATCTTTAACCCCTTCCTTTCCCTGCTTTTTCTTCAGCCCCACCTGACAACTCTTTTCAGAAACAACTGGTCACAAAGGAGGGGAATGAGCTCTACCACTGTGTAATTTACCTTGCACCAGGGGATTATCACTGCTTCCACTCGCCCACCGACTGGACAGTGTCCCACCGACGGCATTTCCCAGGTTGGTTTCTGTTCCTAGGAAACAGCTGCAGAGCAGCTATGCAGGAAAGCACTGCTATGGGCCTCTGCAGAATGAGACACAGCAGTGCAGAAGTTGTACAGTAACGTGATATACAATGGTAGAAAAGTGATTAGTCTCAAACAGGTGTGAGTTTTGCAGCTGTATAGTTTACCAGATCATATCATATAAAAATGGTGAAAACAGTAATATTGTTTTCCATCTGAGTTCTTTGAAGTACCCCTGGATTCACATTGACCTGATTTGTTCCCAAACACTGTTTATTCAGTCTGCACCTGAAATATAGATAGTTCTGCAGATCACACCAAACAGTAGCCCAAAGTATGATCTCTGTTTGTGCTTGGCAAAGAAAATGCAACTGAACAGTTACACTACTGGAGCTGGGATGGATGTCCTTGCAGATAAAAATATTTTACTTCTTGGTATCTAGCAAAATCCTAAGTATTTGGATTTGGTTTCAAACACCATGAGAGAGAGAGACTGACCCACCACATGCATCCTTCTGTGACCCCTTTGTTTTCAGCACAGACTTCTCTTTCATTTGCTCTGCCTGGCACTTGCCTCTCTAAACAGTTACACTACTGGAGCTGGGATCGGATGTTCTTGCAGATAAATATATTTTACTTTTTGGTATCTAGCAAAACCCTAAGTATTTGGATTTGGTTTCAAACACCATGAGAGAGAGAGACTGACCCACCACATGCATCCTTCTGTGACCCCTTTGTTTTCAGCACAGACTTCTCTTTCATTTGCTCTGCCTGGCACTTGCCTCTCTTCCTACAAATAACTGACAGTTGTTTACTGGATCAGCTCCAGTTAACACTGAAAACACCATCTGAGTGGCATTACAATATTGCTACAAACCAGACAAGCTAACCTGAATATTTTCTCACTTCTTCAGGTTCTCTGATGTCTGTCAATCCTGGAGTTGCTCGCTGGATCAAGGAGCTGTTCTGCCACAATGAACGGGTTGTCCTTACAGGTGACTGGAAACATGGCTTCTTCTCATTAACAGCTGTAGGAGCAACAAACGTGGGCTCCATCCGCATCTACTTTGACCAGGTGAGCAGGATCACAGCAGCACCTTTCTGGTGTTAATGGTTGAGGTTGGTGCAGCATAACAAAATTTAAAAAAAAAAATTTATTGCCCTGAAATTAGGGTGTTTCACAGTACTGATACTCTAAGACTGGTTTAAACAGTGTTGTCTTCAATATAGACAATTTTTAAAATATTCCTATTGCACCTTTGAACTGTGAGTTCATGCATGGAAAATGCACGAGTATGTACAGTTCACAGCTGTAGTGATGAATGAATACAGAGCACTGAAATCCACCAGTAAATCCTTCTCTTCTTCCTTCTCTGTACAGGACTTGCACACAAACAGTCCAAGTTACTCTAAAGGTTCCTACAATGACTTCAGCTTCATATCCAACAACAACAAGGAGGGAATCCCCATGAGGAAAGGGGAACATTTAGGGGAATTTAACTTAGGCTCTACGATCGTACTAATCTTTGAGGCACCCAAGGACTTCAGATTCAACCTCAAAGCTGGACAGAAAATCCGCTTTGGAGAAGCACTGGGCTCTCTATAGGAACTCTCTCAGCAAGAAGATTTTCTATAAAAAGGGACTCTTTTCACACCACTGAGTGTTTCACTTATCAAGTTTGTATCACTCAGCAGGACCTGGGTGAGGAGGAAGATGTCACTGCTGCATTAAACTTGAAAGTATTTGGTCTACATTTACCTGCTGCTGAATGTAGAAACTGAATTGAATGATCATGGATGTATCGGGTACAGCTGCCTTTAAAGATGTTGCCCATGGTGGTTTCAGGCCCACCCTGTGCCTGTAGTCTTTCATGTTCTCCCCTGAATGTGCCACAGGATAATTATGTTCTTAGAGCCTCTAAGTCCCTTTTAAGCCTTCCTAGGCAGGTGCAGTGGGAAAGGGTAGAGATTACCTATATTTAAAGGGACACTGACAGGCTGAGTCAGACATTGTACCTTCTATCTACAGTATCTGTTTTTCAGACCTTGAGTAAAGAATATATTCTCATCTTTATTTTATTCTAAGAAACTCCACCCAATTGCTAGATAAAAGCAGTCTCTCAATTCACAGGTGGCCAAACAGTGAAATTTGCTGGTGTGGCTTCATGGCCCAAACAAAGCAAAATGTGGAACAGTCAGTCAGTACAATGAGTGACACTCATCCCTCATCCTGAGTTTTGTACTGTTAGACAACTTTAGTTCTTTTGTCTGACATTGTCCCTTTAAAAATGGGCTTTTCACTGTATTTTGAACCTGAAAACAGTGTCTACATTCCAGACAACAGAACTTGTCATATTGCGATTTTCTTTCTTATTTTTTTTAAAGACAGACAAAGCTCTGTGTCCTCTTCCTAATCCATTGTTTTGTTTGTTTTATTTTGCTACTCCAGGCCTTAAAGTTTTTGTCTTTATGAAAGACAGTTAACATCATCTCTTGGATTAAGGAGTTAGAAGACACAGGGCATATTTTTGCTGGGTGATGTGATGGCAACTAAAGTATGCTTTTTCTTTCTGCTATGTATCTTGTTACTTTATCACTAAATTATTGAAGAATTAGTTCCTCTGTTAAAGGACAGCTTCAGCTACTTCAGGACCAATTTTTATTGTAGAGAGTGAAATGCCCTATGCCTATGCACTGACTATGTTTAGTGTATTTACGGCTCTTTAAAGAAATCCCATGTTGCTTCCCAGGTACCAGTCTGGCCCTCCCTTGACTGGGCAACAACTTCATCTTATTCAAAATACAAAACAAAAAACCACACTGGCTCTGACTTGTACCCTCATACTTAATGCTAGGAATGTGCTGGGGGCTGAAATCTGTGCTGTAAAATTTTAAAGCCTCTTTGTGACTTCACATCAAGAAGAGTTAAAATCTAACACCTTGGATCTACTGCATGTGGCACTGATAAAAACCACTGCCAGAGTGAAGAGGAATTGAGTTTTAAAGCAATGTATAAATTGTTTGTTGAGAATAAACTGTTTCTAGTCCCAGCACTCAAACACTTAGAACTGATTTTGCTATCCAGAGCTTGTTGGAGTGGACACGCTTATGAAACCTGCCTTTGTGCTTTCTGAAAGATTTCTCCTATTACTTCCTTGCTTGAGCTCTTTTCTGCTACTTCAAGGAGATGAGAGGCTTTGACGAGCTCTGATCTCCTAAAGAAACCCTTTTTTGTATGCACTGCAGAAGACAAGAGTATAATTTTGTTGTACAAATGTCCAGTTTGCCAAGTCCTGTATGCTTAGCTTGTCATCGGCAAGGAAGGGACGATAAACTGCCTCTAAGTGATGCAGCCCAGGCATGAGTCAGATGAGGGTGGCTGTTTGGGTGACAAGCAGGAGAAAATTCATTTGGCTCCAGGAGTCAGTGTTTCCTCACTTTACACAGGGAGGAGTTTGAAAGCTTGAAGTGGCTCTCAGCCACCTATCTTGTTAAAATTCTTGGTATTAGCAAGTTTACTCCTGCAGCAGTATAGTATCAGATACAAGTCTTTTTAAGTCTTTGAGAATGAGAAAAGATAAAGGCAAATATCAGCACCAAGAGGATAAACTTAGGGTCAGCTTTTTGATTCAATTTCAATGTCATGTTAACAAGAGAAAGCAAATTTGTTCCAGTGGATGAGAGAAAAAGACAACTGAATATTTTCTTTCTTTTCCACTGAGGTCTGTGACATCCAGACAGAGCCAAAGGAAGTTTAAGCTTTAATTTCTTCCTACTCAGCAGCATCATCTATAGTATGTGAAGGTAAATATTAGCCTAGTGATGGAGGATGAGTTGCTTGATGTTTGCTTTATTAGAAATCTCAGAAGGAAGAGAGGATTCAGCATGCAAGTGGCTGTTGTTATGATGGTTTTAATACTGTGCAGAGCAAGCTAATAAACCAACATTGCTTGTGATGCAGGGGCCAGCAATGCACCCCAGGAGTGAAAAAGTTCCTCGAGGGTACTGATAATGCTGTGAATTTCTCCTGCATGGAGAATCCATTTAATTCAACTGTATCAGTAGCACGGTATTTTTGTATGTCAAAGTGTATGACTTACTGACATGAACTCATTTAATTGCAAACATTTTGAAATAAAGAGTCTTATCTGTGTTGCTTATCTTTGTGGCATGACAGGCAACCTAAACTAGGTATTGCAAGTGCAGCATGAGGTAGATGTAGCTCCAGTTTGGTTTTGATCAGCTAGAGTAACAATAAAAATGCAAAATTATTTTCACTTAATTTATCAAATATAAATTCCATACATAGAACTAAGTGAAGGGATACATCTTTTCCATTGTCCCCTGCTATGAAGGGGGGCAAAAAGTCCTACCCCTGAGCTGAGAAGCTGGAAGGTGCACTACAGATCCAGGGCAAGCTGGATATCTCGCAGGCGGGCAAGCAGGGCCTGCACGTGATGTCTGTCAGCCAGCTGTGCTTTGGTGAGAGCATTGATCCTCACCTGCAGCTGAAAGGAACACAAGTGCATCAGCATCAACATAAGTTTGTACAGTGAGACAATATTTAGTCTTTTTGACAGCAAGAGCAGCTTTTGTATTCTCTCACTTGAGGGCCAGTACATGATAGATTGTGTTACTCAGGACTGGCTGCAGTCAGGTACCAGTACCCACACCTGGCTCTGAACCTGGGGCCTGAAAGCAGTGCAGGTCCGTCTGCACACAGGGCATTGTCTTGAGAAACTGCAGAAAAATTTGAGATTGAGTCTCTGAAAGCCTGATCCATACTTGGAAACAGCCTCAGAAAGGTCTACTGGAGCAGGAGTTACATTTTTGAACAAACAGGAAGAGGCATCTACACAGCCTCTTCTGCCCCTCAGCCTACTTTGACTACAAATTTTCCTTGGCATTTTACTAACAGCTTACTACACAATTCCTCACAGCTACCATCAGTCTTTAGGCTAAGTGCATGGCACAGTGACAATCACTTCAGTACCTTCCATTTAAATGCTGTGTACACACCTGACCCAATTCTTCCTGAACTCCTTGCACACCATCTTGGGCTCCTGCTTGCTTGCTCATCTCCAGCCACTGCTGCAGAATCTGTGCCTGCTGCTGACAGCACCTGATAAAATGGATTAGAAGGATTCTTATCCAAATTAAGAGCTCAACAGTCTAAGCCAACTTAGACTTGCAACTGATACTTGCAATAAGACCCATTTTTTTGTCTCAAACCAGTCAATGGTTAAAATCTTTTTTAAAAAGTAAAAAACCCAAAAGATGCTGGAAAGCAGAGAAATCTGAAAACTGTTATCTCCACCTCCTGCTTCTAGCCCTGACTACTTCTTTTCCTGACAGTTAAATTCCCCCCAAGCCCCATTTCTTTTGAGCATTTCTGTTTTCTTGTTCTACTAGAGCAGTTATCAAATACCAGCCATATTCAATTTTTTTAATTGAAAGCTGGAAAAGCTCAGTCCTCACTCCTCTTGATAAAATAACTAAAAGCAAAATTTCAACTGCTCTGCCCTATTCATTTGTACTGTCTCCTGATTACACCCAGTGATACCTCTGACATGCTTCTGCAAGAGCTGCCAAAGGTGTAATTAAACCACTTGGCTGACTACAGAAGTAGTTATGCACACACTCTCCTTCACCTGGAGTGAACTCGAGAAAATAAAAAGCTCTGGAACTTTTCTCTGTGTCATTCACAGTTCTACTGTGAACAGACTGGTTATTTCTAGGGTAGATACTCAGAAAAAGTGCAACAGAGTGGACAACATGAAGAAAGGCTGGCTAAAGGGGCATTACTTGAGTTCCTGCCTCCTGCTGTAGTAGTACTGCATCTGCTGCTGGATATGCCAGAGTTCAACTTCCACCTTTCTCTCCAGCATCATTTCTTCTCTGGAACTGTGTTCTCTCTTTTCCCCTTCAGCTGAATGGAAGATACAAGGATCAATCAATGGAGGTAGAACAGACATCCACTCTTTCTTCTTATCAAAAAAACCAGAAAATATTTTTAATGACAGGAAAAAAGGGACCCTCCCAACTGCTGTTCATGTGTTTGGTTACCCTGTGACATGTGCCTGTTCACCCCAAAGAATGAGGTACAGTGAGAGGGCACGAGTTCTGACAACTGAACAAGCTCTTGAAGACTCAGTCTGAGCACATAAAAGATACAAAATGCTCTGGTGGATGGTCCAGTACTACAGATACTGTTTTGGCCTGTTCAGGATTTAGTCTTTCACATTTAGGCTAGACGTAATTAAGTAATTAAGTACAGTAGTCCTGCAGAACAAATGTCATGCTCTGATGTCATTTAAAACACCACAATGGGAGGTGCTTAGACACCATCTGTCCCCTTTACAGCCATACTGTAAGTACAGGGACATCTCAGAGAGCTCTAATGGATGACCTTCCCTCCTGAGGCAAGTTCTGCTGTACATGTGAACACCCCAGCACCTGAGCACATTCTTGCTAAAAGAATGTTCAAGCAGTTCCCATCCTTCAATGCTTAGAGCAGGGCTTTAGCCCCCAGACTCAGCAGAATCCATACGACTGCAGCTCCCTTCCCAGAAAGGAGTACTGGTACCCTTTACCTCCTGATGCTGGCACACAAGATTGCCCTGTCTCCCATACATTCTGTGGCAGTGACTTGCAGTCTCACATAAATTAGAGAGGAAGATGAGCAACTGCTACAGTTTGGATCTCAGGATATACCTGCAGTCTGGTGACTCCCTTTTCCCACCAAGTCTTCAGATGACAGCAAATGTGGCTGCAAATTTGGTGCCAACTTCTTCTCCACAGAATTCTGTCGCAAGTTCAGGGAATGGGCTCCTTTGTGACCACTGGCAGGCTGACCTCCTCTCTAGAAGGTCAGAATGATATTGGAGTTTTCCTCAAAAGGTTTTCTTAAGTAAACCCTACAAGTAGGATATGCCTGACCTACTTAGTCCTACTCCCACTCAGACAACTCCTGTAGGTGCTAAGCCCCTCTCATCTCTCATCAAATCCCACAGAAGAAGCAGAGCTTAAAAGATGGACTCTGATTTCTAGCATGGAAATATTTCACCAAGATTAAAACTTCCCATTCTGTGTGGAACAAGGAATTCAAAAAGCAAGCACCTACTTGCAGGTTAAGTAATTTTTTCAAGCTGTCAGACACACCCACTGCTCCTAAGCTGAGTTTCTCTTAAATCCCTGCTATCTGGACAGCAAACTGTAGCTGCTCTGAACTCCAAAGAGGCAGCACCCTCACGTCACTTGCTAGGAAAAATCTGGCTAGGAAGACAACCAGGGAAAAGACATGAAATACAGAACCCCACATGTGGACTGCTTCAGACTAGGGGTAAACAGTTCTTGGGTATTCAGAGGCAGTTCACTTGGTCAGCTTTAAAGATGACAGCTAGAACAAGTGAAAACCAGCTCAAGCAGGGCAGTTCAGAAGAACCACAAGAAAACACAGCAGCAAGCAATGGGCCTGCTGGCAGCAGCCCAGTACACACACTGACTGTTCCTTCAGCAATGCACTCACCTCTTCTGAGCCAGCTTTCATGTGGGACACGAAAGATGCAGGAGACCACAGCTCTGGCCCCTGCCCAGCTCTGTGCTTGTCCTGTGTCCACAGGGGGAGAGAAGCACAAGTGAGAGAGGGATGGGGATGAGCAGCACTGTCCATCTGAGACAGACATTTACAGGTGCTTTCTTCCATGTGAGGTGTCAGCATTAAGTTGCCAGTCTGTGCAAGACATTTATTCACAGATGTTTGCTGAAAGGGCACCTCTGACCTGTACAGGAAGAAGGATAAGGTCACTATACACTGCAACTTGTTGGCCTTGTCCTTTGGGGTCAGTGCAAAAAAGGGGAGACTCCTGTCATTCCGTTGCATACAGCTCTCCAGTTTGCTGCTCTACTATGCCCACTGTAAGTCACCCTCTTTTCTTTACTTCTAAAATTAGATCTCCTACCTAGTAAAAGGAGGTCCCAGCAGTTCCTTGCTTTCTAGAGATTCCAGAGGGAAGTCAGGCTTCCGTGGTGGTAACCTGGCTTGTTGAATGGCATTTCTGAAAAGAAAAACAAAACCAAGAATGCCCTAGACTTACAATTATTGTAAACTGGCATCAGCTGGCACTGCAGCTAAGGAAACAGAACTGTTTCATCATTCATCCCTGCTCTGCAACCTTCTCCTTACATGCAATCCTGATTCTTGAAGATTAAATGTCAACCTGTATTAATATGAGAATCTAGTTCACCATGTGAATGGTGGTGCCAACACAAAGAATAGTGGAAGTGATACAACTGAACAGGGTAGAAACTCTTCTTTTGGCAGCATATACTTGCTTAAAGCAATATGAAGTTCCAATCTTATTTCCCTGTAGGGTTCCTGTCCTGCACTGAGAAGATTCATAGACAATTCTTCCTTGCAACTGCCCCATGAGCAATAGGATTTTTTTAAGGAATAGCTTCCCCAGGGAAAAGAAAGGGGCAAGAAGAAGCTTCAACTTCTGTACACCAGGATCTTGATATTTATCATTTCATCAGGTGACTTCAGTGCAAAAAACAAGAGCTCCAGTGACAGTAGGTCACTTGGCAAGATAAGCTCTCCCAATGTCTGAAGTCCCATCAAAGGTATCTTTCAATGTTTCTCTACATAACTGTTCCTATGACAAATGGCCAATGCTCCACAAATTTTGTTCTTCCTAAAGAAACACAAAGTGGAAGGTCTATAGCTGAGCTGGTTCTACCTGGCACTGGCAAGTACAGTCACAAATACCTTCCCTGTGTGTGGGTTGTTTTTGCATTACACAGCAGCTCTTGTATAATTCTGTACCACATGATGCAGGGTCAGAGTTAAGGAGAATGCATGAAACTAAGTCATCAATGAGAAAACTTGGAAACACAAAAATGAGACACATGTAGCTAGATTACATGTATGAAAAGTTACTTATATGCCAGAGAAACAGGAGGGACTGGAAATTTACACTCACAGGCTATGCAGAAGTGAGCTCCCCTCAGCAGGGTGAAGTGGTAGATGTCTGCATTTTGAAGGCCACAGCTCTTCCTCTGATGAATGTCCTCTTGTCTCAGGACTAACATCAGGCCTTTTAAATGTCACTTGCTTCTTCAGAGGTGGCAGAAAAGAAAAAGGCTTATTTAATTTCTGGGAGAGAGCCTCTGTTTCCACAGCATGGCACAACAGTACAATGACTGGTGAAGACTGCAGGCTGCTGCCAACACAAAGAACAGCAGAGTATCTGATGGCTGAGAGCAGGAAGCACCATGGAGAAGGAACCAAGATTTCTGATGCCCTCCAAGCCATACCAGCTCTCTAAACTAAATCAAAAGGTCCACTGTGGTAACATTTGAGTGAGGAGAATTAACTGGGTACTTCTGCACCAAGGCAAGCTGCACATTAGCAAATGGAACAACTGGTATCCTGAAAACCTGGAAAAGAGCTGGGAATGCTGCCCAGAAGCAGGAAGAGAGCAGTCAATACAGGCATCCTTTTCACACACAGAGCTGGGTTGATACTCATAGGCAGAAGTGACACAAGCCCACATATGAAGGTATAAGCAGTGCTAAAGCTAAGACAAGATCAGATGCAGTCTCCAATGCTTCATTCCAGCACAGAATTTAGAGACCTGACCCACATGCAAAGGTTTCAATCTGGAGTATTGGCTATGGCAAAAATTGGCCAGTTTTAAAATAGTTTCATTAAGAAAGGTTCCTAACGAGTCTGAAACCCTCTAGTCTCAGATGAATGAAATGCTTTGAACCAGAGACAGAAGTGTATTTAGGATCTAAACAATAGCTGGGATGTGGAGCTACAAGATACATACATGCACAGACACATACACACAGAGCAGAGAGCAGAGCAGCCCAGCTCTGGATGTGAGCAATCTCTCTTTCACCTCCAGCTGGGGCTGAGTATGGAGCTGTCCCTGCAGCTGTTTGATGCCAGCAGTGTTTCTCAAGGCACAGGTTACACCTTCTCTCAAAGGAGTTGTGTGGTGAACTCTTGTGACTTTTTCAATGCCATCTTTCTTCTCCTGCTGCCCCTTGGCAAACCTGAGCCAAGCATCAAATACCTACAACAGGAACAATGAGAGCTATTACACAGACAGGTTCCAGACCAGGCACTCCCCCTGCAGACAGCAACACTCTCCCTTCCACTGGATAGGAATAAGCAGAGCTGCAGCAACAGCAGGACACTGCCACAACAACAAAGGGACAGAGATTTAAGTCAGGTGAGGCCAGATGGGGAAAAATGTGCATATTTTTTAATCAGCTAAGAAATTTCAGGGAGTTTTCCAGCATCCCAAAATAACATACAGCACCCCAAAGAGGAAAGGAAACAGACATTCAGTGTGCACTCTGCTGACTGCAGCCAAATCTGCATATGATCTGCACATCAAACTCACTTGCCTGGCCCTGCCCTGCACAGCCCCTTACCTTTCTCTGCACTGAAAGGGACCAGTGCCACAATGCTTGCACTGTCCTCCGCTTTTCCCACTGCTGCTGCAACAGCTATTGGGGAAAAAAAATGCACAGCAACCAGGTTAGGAGTTCACATACTCAACACTAGGAACACCAGCCAAAGCACCAAGCAAGGAGGAAGTGATGGTAGAGCCAGAGCAGAAAAACCCTCAGTTCACCCAGTCTATGGCAAGGTGTCTCTTGAGCTAGCTGAACAAAAAAATCCTGAAAATGTTTAAATAAAGTTTTCTTGGTCTTTGTGTAAACAGAACATGAAGGAGAAGGGAAAATGACTAGCAAGGAGCTAGGTGTCTACCCAGGGGAAAATTCCTTACCCGAGTTTTCCAGCAAGAGAAGGAAGCAGAGCAAAGTCTATGAGTCATTAGTTCATCTCCCCTCCTCTGCAGCAGCTGAAAGGCAACCAAAATAGTGAGTCACTTGCAGACAAACCCCATTTATCTAGCCAAATGCTATTAGAACAGCTAGCAAACAGCCTTTATCTCCCTCCCTTTGCTCTGCTGAGGCCACCCTCAATACCCAAGTGCCCTACAGAGTAACCCCATGTGCAGACATCTACGAGCCCAGCAGGGATTTCATTTGCAGTAAGCTCAGGCTGTCTTGTTAAGTCTGTTACTTCTGTCAGTTTCTTCAGGCAAGACACAGCCATGCTCCTTCCTCCTCAGTACACAAGGAGTGTACTGGCTGCTCCTTCTCAGCCCTGACTGCCATTCCCTTCACCAGGGAGCACAGTGTGTTCCTCCATACCCATAACTTTCCACAGGCTGGGGAGGTTGCTGATCCTTCTCACCTTTTTCCCAAGGCGCTGCTGATGATAATTTTTCCATTTCACCAGGTACTTCTGGAGCAGGTGCTGCTGGTGGTGCTGCACTGCCCTGTGGTGCTGAGCCCTCAGCATCAGAGAATCCCTCATTAATTCCTTCCAGTGCAGAAACAGGCTCTGTAAACGCACTGTTAGGGGAAGAAAAATTAATTAATGTACCAAAAGGAGACTATTAATCTCAGAGTATCAAGTGATCAGCTTACTCTTCCCAACTGTTTCAGCAATACTCAACTTGAACAACACTCAGCACTGACAGTATTCACTATAGGAAGAACTGTGAAACATTTCATGTAACACACAGGGAGCTGTGACTTGTAAGTCTTCCCTGCTGCCACTGACACTCTTTACAACCTTTAGGAAAGCCTTCTGTGCTTCAGAGCCCTCGTGTCCTCGTGTCAAGAATGTACCATGAAAATGCTTGCAGAATCTGAGGGTCTTTCAGTAAGAATTACTAGAGAAAGACTGAAGCAGTAATTGATAAGACTACTTGTATTGCCCTCAAAACACATGTCTGAGGTTCTCAAATTTAGTAATGGAAAATTCCTTTGAGGAAGGAAGTGCTACCATCCATTATATAGCACAAAGAACAAACAGAGAAACAAAAGTAACACAAGCAGCATTCAGAAGTTCACTAGAATCCCAATTCACTCTCCATTCTGAGAGGACATCCTTTATAACAGATCATCCAGTCACTTCATCTGTACAGATGACACAACACACTGCCCTTGGCTCATTCACAGACAATGAGCACTTTTGAGAGTTCAACATCTACATCAGCTCACCTAAATCCAGCTGTTTTCTGGCCTCCACCACAGCTGTCACCTTCAGGTGGCGGTGACACGCTCGTAGCCAGGCAGTGTCTCTCCACTGCAGCAGCACCTAAGGATACAATGCAACCAGGAGATGGGACACAGAGTGCCACTGCAATGGAAGGGGACACAGTGTACTCCCCCCACTGCTGGTAACATAACCATTTCCACTCATTCTTCACATAAGGCTCAGCAGAGAGAATTTCCTACAAATTAAATGCAGAAGTATTTCAGAGGGTCCCCTTGGCCTTTTTCAAGTCATTCTTCTCTTTCATCTATCCCCTCCCTGCCCCACTCACCAATTCTACTATGCTATATCATGCTACTGGCTTTTCCTTCCTTCTAAGGAATGAGATGAAGGAAGAAAAGAAGCCATGAGCTCACAAAGACAAGATTCAGAGACACCTGTAAAAACAAGATGAGACCCCCCCACTTTGCAGATCTCTCCTAGCAGTGGCACTCAGATTTAAGTTTTTAGTCCTTCTAATTGTATTATCTGACCCCTGCCTGAACCAGCAGCTACTGAGATCTTGGCACCTGCTGTACAGAAGCTACCTTTGACAGGATTGCTCTCCTGTAGTGCTCATCTGCCCGAGTAGTTGCCTCAGATTCATGTATAAGAGCAAGAGCATTTTCTCTCCACGTACACACCACCTGTCTGAAGGCAAAAATACACACAAAAGTTAAAAACAAACCCATTAAGAATGATTCTTACTTGTTCACTTGGCACTTTCCTACTCACAAGGGAACCAAAACCAGCTATAAACTCAGTCATGCAAATCAACTTCTGCCCCTTCAGGTCTCTGCTTCTGAAGAGAAGGCAGTGTATAACAGAACACAGTCTGAAATCCAGCAGCTTCAGCTGAGCCAGTCAGGCTCTGCAAGTGACTCAAGCTGTATAACACTAAAATAAGGGAACTAAATAACTACAACCAATGCAATGTGGTAATCTTTAATCACTCTCCTCACTGTGAGAGGCTCTGCATCTTCCAGGCTGCTTTAATACTATAACAGATGTAGTTAATGCCTTAATGATGCAGTTTGCTGTCTGATGACTACACAGAGATTTAAATATATATTATATATATATAAAATAGATAATACCAGGACTAAACAGGGATTTAAAAAATATTCAAGCAAAACAGATAGCAAACAGGAAAGGGTTGATTTATTTTAACTAGATGAACTTCCTGCAAAGAAACAGCAATGCATAGCAGAGTCAATTCCCAGCACTGAACATTCAAAAAGTTACAAAGATGGCAGTGAAAGAAAGGAATGAATTTGACTGCAGTGCAGTCACTTCTCTCATGCTGCCTAGGAGGAGGCTCACCGCAGCAGCAGTCGAGTGTGCTGTTTTTCCTTCTCAGCTACTTCATACAGAATGCACTGCATGTTTTGTTGGTAAATCTGGAAAAAAACAGTGTTGAGAGGTAAATTTACTTCAACTGTTAACACCTGTGAGGAGAGGAAACATCTAGAAACTCTAACTAGCACCTAACTAACTCTTACTAATTCATAAGTAGCACTGGCAGTAAAGTACAGGGGGAAAAAATACAGTCACTGAAATCAAATGCTGCTTTGCTGTAGCAAGCAGTCACTACACAATAGTTAATGCTAGCTGTGATATACCATTCACCAGTGCTACAGGATTACCTTGGTTCTTCTGCTCTAAAAAGCAAAGCCAGAGCTCACACAGCCCTACATACAAGAGCCTCCATTCTACCTTGCATGTGATGTGTGTGTGCCTCCAGAGAAGCAGCATGGGAGCTCTTCAGCTCTCACTGGAACACTACAGCACATACAGACAAGTGTCTCAAAAAGGCTGGCTGCTCCATCCTACCTTCCAAGCTGCCAAGGTCTTGCCCAGCAACACACGTCCATAGTGCAGGTCTGCTTGCACCAGCTTCCTCCATTTCTCACGCTGGTGTCCCACATACTAGAAGGAGGAAATGAAAAAAACCCAAAACATATGAAAGAGGGAAAACAAGTAATGGCAGAGAGAGAGGGAAAAAGACCATTTCCATTCTCTGGAGAATCAATCCTTCACCTTGCTGTAACAGCTTTTCACTCAAACTGGTGCTGCACTCTATGTCCCCAAAAGGCCTAGCTGAGGTGCTTTTTTTTCCTGCCCTTTGTAGGAATCCTCTTGAAAACTGATGTAAACCACTCAAGTTAACAGGTCTGCACCAACAGAGCAGCTCCAGCTATAAAATTTCTCATCGATTTTCAAGACATGCTGCAAGGCACATCTGGTACCTCAAATCATGGTAAGGAAAAGGGGCCCACCATGAAAGTATTCTGTGTTTGTGACAACCTGCAATACAAATACAGGTCATACACAAAGGCCTGGCTGGAAACTTCTAACTTTTGAGAAAAACACACCCAGTACTGACTAGGGACAATCAGTGCCTGTCTACTAACTCTGATTACATTCCCAGGTGCATCTAAACCATATTCCTATTCTCACCATATCTACATACATGAACAAAAAGAATTCCCTCTTCTCCCTACACAGTTCCTGTTCCACCCACATCAAACTGGTTTTATCCACATGAAAAGGGAGGAGACCTTAGGAATGACTGGTGTTTCAAATAAACAATTTAACTTCTAGCCATATGGGTACAAGCAATTAAAACATAACAGGAAGACTTCAGCTCTTTCCCATCTGCTAACTCTCTTACCTCTCTCCACTTGTTCCAAGTCTGCTGCAGACACTTTGAACAGTGAAATCTTAATGCTTCTGTCTCCTTGAGCCTCCTATAAGAAAAATAATTATTTGTCCTACAATGCAATCCATGTTACTGGACACCTCTAGCACAGACTTGAATCCACATTTGTTATTTTCAGTAATTCACTTACTGAAAGACAACTTAGTAGACTCCAAAGCACAAAAAAGGAGTGAGCACCATTGTGAATTAAATGCTGTCCAAAGTAGGCTGCCACAGTGCCAATCCAAATCATTCTCTGTTTCAAAATGAATCTTACTCTGTTTCTCTCTCCTGAGTCTTTTGTTTCCAGAGACAGAAGGCCTTTAGCAGCAGCTGGTTCCTGTAGTGATCTCCTGCACAAACCAAGGCCTCCTGCTCCTCCAAACGTGCAGCTGTTCTCCTCCGCCAGCAGCACCAGGAGCAGCGCAAGAGCTGCCCTTCGAAATGGAGGACAGCCTGAGGTGGAGGGAGGGAGCAATGAATGCACAGCACAGGCAGCTACAAACAAGAAACTCCTTAAAGATGACATGCATGGAACTGCCCAATGTTTGTTTTTCTGAGGTTGAACAGCAATGGACACACCACCAAAGCCCCTTTGTGGTGAGGCTATGTAACGTGCTCTGTAGCTACCTGTGTGCATGTGAGTGGAGGAGCTGTTACCAAAAAACAGCAAGCCAAAGAGAGGAAAAACACAAGCTGATAAATAGCATGTGAAGGACTCTTAAGAACTGATAAGCTCCAGAAACCAGTCCTGTTGAATGTACAAGAACTGATAATCTCCCTTCACCAAGGGTGAGCCATATCTGCACAGACACCCACATGTGCTACTGGCAACTTGGAGTTCTGTAAGAGACCACATAAAGGCCATAGTGCCTGCTACATGTAAAGACTCCAGGACTATATGTACATATATATATACACACAGACACCCCCTTTAAAAAATGAAGGGCCCTGTAAAGAACTTTATGGACACCTACCTAGAAGCAGCTCATTTCTCAGTACAACCCTGCACTTCTTAAATGACTGGGGTTGGCCATTTAGTAATATTATTATTATTTCAACAAAGAACTATGAGACCGTGTGAGAGAGAGAGCACACACACATTTACAGTGTGAGTGAATAACTGAATGAGCTATGTGAATGGCAATCCTCTAATAATAACTTGTTTCTATTACTAACAAACTGCTTAACTTAAAAAAGGTGATCAGTAAATACTGGTTGTAATCCCTTTCCCCTAACTTGATTCCCTCACCGGGGAAAAGGGAATTTACAACAACTAAGTCCATCTCATGCTAACTCATATTCAGACAGTGACTGTGAAATCATCCCCTCTATTTCCTAAGCAAGACACAAGAGTTCCATTTACCCTCTTCTCTTCCATTCGATATTCTAATTCCCTCACCAGGGAAAAGGGAATTTACAACAAAGGGAATTTACAACAACCAAGTCCATCTCATGCTAACTCATATTCAGTGACTGTGAAATCATCCCCTCTACTTCCTAAGCAAGACACAAGAGTTCCATTTACCCTCTTCTCTTCCATTCGATATTCTTGCAGCTTTCTGGCCTTCAGCCACCATGTGTCAAATACCTGTCTCATCAACACCCTCCTGGCAAGCAAAAAGGGACAATGTCAGCACACAGGAGACAATTCCTCCAGAAAACATACTGGTCTTTTGAATGCCAGCTGACTAAATGAACCTCAGAGCTAGGCTTAACCAATCTCCCTCTTACATCCAGAGAGAAGCACGACATATAAATTGTTCACTTCTCACAGAAAATGTCAGAGCAGTTGCCATTAAGTTATGCCCCCGAAGGTATTACTATACTTCAGAAGAGAATCAAAGGCCCACAGATTCCACATTTGTAGAAGTCTGTGTTAATATTTCACTGCATACCTGTAACGGGCATGAGCCACTGCTGTGAAGGCCTGCTGCTGTTACACGAGATATAAACTGTTCATTACTCACAGAAAATGTCAGAGCAGCTGCCATTAAGTTATGCCCCCAAAGGTATTACCATACTTAAGAAGAGAATCAAAGGTGCAGATTCCACATTTGTGCAAGTCTGTGTTAATATTTCACTGCATACCTGTAACGGGCATGAGCCACTGCTGTGAAGGCCTGCTGCTGTTCTTCCTCCTTCTCTTCCAAACGGGACTTCCAACGGTTCCAGTACTTCTGCAGCACCTGAAATAAAATAAGAAAGACACTAAACCCCCCCCAAAGATATCCAGTGAGGAGAAGAATGCAAATAAATAAATTGTTGAAGTCCTAACAAACTGCATATTGCAATGGTTGTCTCCTGCACTGCTTCATATACCAAACTTTTTAACCTCCTACAAGTTTTTCTGGTAAAAGAAAAAATCCGCCATAAACACAGGGGAATCAAAAACTAAACATACATAAGAGTCGCAGTTGACTCACACAGATTTTCTGTGGCTATCAGTATTTAAAGCTACTGCTGTAATAAAAAAGTACTTTGTAGGTGATAGTGGAAGTCAATAGACAGCTCAAGACAAACTGACAGAAAGTCAAACTCACTGTAACTCGATGCTGACAGGATGACAGATTTGTTCTCATTCTCTGAAGACGAGTGTCCAGGACGTTCTGCCGAAGACCCTTAAGGCCAAGTTCCTGTAACCACAAGAAATAAACACAACTTTCATTAATCCAAATAATCCAAATCAGATAATTTAGAACTGATGTACAATCCTAGAATCCCTTGAGTGGGGGCAGAATATGGTAAATAGTATTATGAGAGCATCCTGCTTCAAATCACTAATTATCCTGCTTTTATAATCACTAATGTTTTCACTTCATGATCCAAACCAGTTTATTGGTACTTTTTTAATGACCCGTACTGATCCAACCTTGAAAATAGTTCAGTCCAAAAAGCTGGAGGCTTGCTTGTGCCCACCTTTCACATAGCCTTCAGGGACTGTTTTTTCTTTTAAAAAATCCTAAAAACTTAAACAAAACCCCAAAACATCAACTACTTGCACCTGCAGCAAGCTATCTTTGGTCTCCTGTGAAAACCACCATGCACACATTACTGCAGAGAAGAAAAAATAATTCTTGTAGCAAACAGCGTAAGAAAAAGAATAAAAAAATCAAGGGGAGAAGTCAGTCTCATGGTGGAGTACCAGGGAGCAGGTAACCCATCACTCTCAAGATCAATCTACTTCACCAGTTTCCCAAATGGATGAATAGCTGTTCTGGAGATCAGCACAGTTTCCCCATTTGGATTCAGCTGGCAGACTCCAGAATAGCTGAAATTTAGAAACCTGGTGTATCTCCCACTTAGCACCCGCTCAGCACTGTCAGTGTTACACTGCACTCAGGGACACTCCACAGCCCCTGCCACCCAGCACATAACTGCTCTTACCAACAGGTGACACTTGTAGTGCTTTTCAGCCAGCTCACACTGCTGAGCCTCTTCCACACACAGCACAACATCTGTCACTGAGTTAAAGTATGTTTTACACAGAACAATCTTCTCCCACAGAGGGGCACTACATCTCCATCTAAATTGCCTTCAATGTTTGAATGTCCAGCACTGCTATCTGCAGAAGTTTTGACTACAGTTAAACTTTTAGATTTTGCTGACTTATTACAATATATTTCTGATTCACTCTTAAGTAACAACCATAAATTATCTTCTGCAGGCTCTAATATACTCTTATACAGCTGCTAATATACTGTAATTACAACAGTTTAATTGTTAGTACGGCATTACAAACACCTAATGACAACATGTTTGTTGTCACTCGTGCTACTGCACAACGTTCCTGCTTATTAACTGGATCTTCCCCCTGCAGGAATGCTTCTAACGTGGCTTTGCTAGGGACTAAACACAGCCAGGATACAATGCTTCCAGTGTGCAAAGGCTCTCCATAAGGCAATCCTTTCTGCTTGTTTTTCCAGGTCCCTTCCATGAGCATGCATTCTTCTCCTGCACTCCCATGACAGCTGCCAATCAGAGAAGCACCTCCGGAGCATCCTGCTTCGGTGAAACTCTTGGGCCAGCTCTGGAAGACAAACACAAATCACTCATGGCTTGCTCTGTCCCAGGCTCATTCCTTTCAGATGAGATCCTGGCATCTGAGCCACTGGCTCACAAGTGACATGAGCTCTAACACTGAGAAATGGTTACGAGAATTCACATTAACACTCAGATAGAGATCATATTCTTCCTATTGATCAAAGGCAGTTTTAAAGCAGTAACCTACTGTGCTGGCTTAAGAGAGGGAAGTTAGGACAATGCATTACTTGTGCAACACTCAAACTTGCTCACATTTCAGCATACTCCTATTACTAGTTCCTACATATCCAAGCTAGATTATTTTCTGCTGCCACCAATCAAAAAGCAATCAATACAAATATCTGAACTTGTTCCCATTCAAGGGAAGAAACAAAGGAACTGGTAATAATCTTTACAATCCTACAGCAGTTGTGATTTGACTGATTATCAAGAAAGTTCCGAGTCTGACTGATCAAAGTCTTGAATACATCCATCTCACAGATATCTCAGCCAAAATCCAAGAGACAATATGCAAGTTTTCATCAAGGGAATTGTAAAGCATTTTCTTTTAAATCCTGTGGAAATCAGCTGATCTTCCTGACAGTCCAGCATATGAACTAAGCCAGCCAGGTCTGTCAGTGCACAGCCCAAGCTGCATCTCATGACCTGGGTGGGCAGAGACACTACAGTGTCTCCTGGAACAGAAAAAGCCATCACCATGCCCTCAGCAAAGGGCTGAGCCCTGTTCTGTCCCAACTCACCATTTTCACTCACCATTCTGGCGTTTCTTTGTTCTGTGGAGGTTCAGGTACCCCAGCCATGCTCCCATGCACCTCCTCAGCTCCCAGTGCTGATGGTGAGTTACTGCCCTGGTGTCCTTCTGCTTTTCATTCTGGCTGTGTGAATACAGCTCTCGCCACTGCAACCAAGCCTGAAGGAACAATTAAGGGGCAAGAGTAGTAAGGGGAAGAAACAGACAAGATCAGAGAAGTAGAACAAAGAGGAAGAGAGGAAGAACACACACGCAATAAGAAATGCCATATAAGTTCCAAAGTGAAAGCCGTGAGCAATGAGGTTCTCCCCAAAAAAAAGGGGGAAAACCCAAACAAACACCAAAAGGAATGTCAGGATAGAAAATGTCAGTGAAAGCCGTGAGCAATGAGGTTCCCCCTAAAAAAGGGGGAAAACCCAAACAAACACCAAAGGAATGTCAGGATAGAAAATGTCAAAGATTTTTTCACTCTTTTAAATACTTCCAAACTTTCTCCCATTAAAAAGACCAACATAATACTTTTCTTTTGCCATCAGGCTTTCTTGCAGATTGTTTTCATATAAAAGGGACTCACATCATGAGATATTATAAGACTCCCAAGTCACAAGTTTCTTTCCTTAGCAGAATACTGCCCTAAGCCAGTATTGTTGCATCTTACATTGTAGGTCAATTTCCATGTTGCATTTTACAGTGCATTTGCCATGCTGCATCTTACTGTGCAGGTCAAATTAAATACCATCCCTTCTTTTTAATGAAATGGATAAAAAGCCACAGTTTCAGTGAAAGAAAAAAAGAAACCCATGCTGTCTTCACTCCAGCTGAGCTCAACCATCTGGACAACACTCTCAGTCATTTGATTCAGCTTTAAGTTGTCCTGCAAGAAGGAAGTTGGACTTGATGCACCTTGAACTCTGACAGGTTTGGTGCTGTAACCACTTTCCTGGGGAGTCTGTTCCAGGGACTGACCACCCTCTCAGGAATTTCCTTTCCCTGATGTCCAGTCTGAACTTGCCCTGACACAGCTTCATTGCATTTCCCCATGTCCTGATATGATATTCCATCATAAGTACTGCAATTTTCAAAGTAAATAAGTACAAGACCCAATTTCTATTCATCTGCAACATTTTCACATGTGTGCAACTTGAACATTAGAAATGGCAGTAGCTGAAGCTCCAGAGACTTACTCGAAATTGCAGGCTCTGGGCCCAATGCTGCAGAGCCAAAATATTCATTTTATGTCCAGAGCATTTTTGGTAATGCTGTCTTCTCCACAGTGCCCATGAAATGCTGCCAAAACAATGTTACAGACAAGTTCAAATAGAGGTGCCGTAATTTGGTGCAAGAAATCACTTTCATCTGACTGGAAAAAGGTATGAACAACAATCTTTTCAAAGAACTACCAAATGGGTTGGGTTGGAAGGGACCTTAAAGATCATCTTGTTCCAATCCCCTGCCATGGCCAGAGGCACTTTCCATTTCCCACACTGCTCCAAGTCCAAACTGACAATCCAAACTGACTTTGAACACTTCCAGGGATGGGGCATCAACATCATCTCTGGGTAATCTCCAGATCTGTGCCTCACCACCCTCAGAGTAAAGAATTTCTTCCTACCGTTCAATCTAAATCTACCCTCTTTCAACTTAAAGCCATTCCCCTTTGTCCTCTCACTGGATGCCCTTCCAAAAGTCACCCTCCAGCCTTCCTGTAGGCCCCCATTAGCATTGTAGCTCCCATCAGCAGCATTGGCAAGCTGCTGTATAATGTCTCTTAAATTCACAGTCTGGGTGTGCCAGAAGAACTCACACATCCCAGAAAAGAACAGAGTTCTTAAAAGAAAAATCAAACACTGAACGAAGCCATGGTGTGACTTTTTATCTTTTAGGAAAAGATAACATAACAGATAAAAGTCATGGCCTTATGGCCAGTGCCTCTGCCTGTTTGTATTCCATCCTTACCGCAAACAGCTTCTTGTCCTGAATGCCAGTGCCACAGACTGCATCCCCTGTTTTGTCCTTTGAACATCAACATAAACCAGCCAGTGCTGCCAGGTCCTGAGCAGAGTTTGCTTCTTTGCTGTGCACAACAAAAAACGGCAGCATCTTAAGTTCTGGAATCTGGCACATCTTAACTACTCCATCACAGCTCGCCCCCGACTCTGTGGCCTCAACCTGCAGGGACACCTTGTGGAAAAGCCTGAAATGACAGCGACCCTCCCTGTGGTCGAGGATGTCACAGGGAGGAGTGTCAGAATCGCTGACAGCACGGTCCGTGGCACTTGTTCAGAGCAGCGTGAATTATCGGACAATGGCCGATAACCGCTTTGTCTTCAGTGCCTACAGGGGAAATAACTGCAGAACAATAGTCAGCATAACGACTGTACTGGGTAAGAATTAGGGGATTCTCTTTGGTTTGTTTAAAAATAAAAAAGCGTATCAGGTTCATCAGTTGCTTTTCAAGAGTTATTCTCTCCTACAAGCAGAGAAATGAACCAGAAACAAGTCAACTTTATTTAGCAGGCTGGTCATGCAGCTAAAAACAGAAGTGGTGTCACAAATTCCAGTTTACCACTTAGTGCAGCACACTGCATATTCTCCTCACAGCAGGTTGGCTTGTCAGAACTGACACTACTAAAGCAATGTTATTAGAAAAAACTCACATCAACTCTATGCCACTTCACACACACACATAAAAGAACCCCAGGCTTTTCTTTTTTAGGATTTCCTTGTGAATCAAGCATTAACCTACCTTGAAACAGGTCACCTTTTTCTATTTTGAGCAAGTAACACACAGCTTCTGCTGTAAATACTCTGGCCTCACTCAGTAAGAAAGAAGTCTGAGTAGCCTGTCACTTTGTGTCCAAAGGTACCAGGCTCTGGGACATTCTGAGGCTATGTTCATGTGCAAAGAGAGCAGTTAACTTATTCTGCAAATAACAAAACCTCAGTATCATCTTTAAACAAGGGGAAATCTCCCTTCACCAAAACATATTCCCTGAACCCAGGAAAGTTGCTACCAGTACAGACAGCTCCAAGTCAAATCCCTTGCAGAGCAAAGAACCTACACAAGAAGACAAAGGGCACTTCAAAAGTTTGGGCTTCTTTCAATCACAAGCTGGAAGGAACAGTCAATAGATATAAAATAAGTGCTGTTAAAAGCACAAGGAATTACTATCTGATGTCTATAGCAACAGTTGACAGAGAATTCCAGTAAAACATTTGATCAAAAAACATCTATTTGAAAACATATTGTGATTAAGTAAAAAAAAAACCCTAAAAACTAACCAAAAATCAAGCCACCTGCTCAAAAACAACCAGTGCAATCCAGAGCAGATGGAGAGGCTCTTAAGCTTATTCACTGACATCCCTAAATAACTATGTAGCTACACCCCTATAACAGAACCCTCCTGCCATCTGCTCCTGCAAACATTGCACTACCATGGGGTGGGGGAGCTCAGGGTGCAAACAGGCCCAGGGGACACAGATTCTGGTAAAAAATTCCCTGTGGATATTCCCATCTCAGTATGCCCCCAAATACTGCTAATTACCATCACTTCACTTACCATGAGACTCTGCAACATAATACTTGTTCCTCTTTCCTTGCTGTTGGCATACATAGGCTCTCCAAGCCTTGAATATCAAATTAAGGAGTAAATGCCTGAAAAATTAAAGAAGTGCCATTCAGTAAAATATTAAAATAAGCAATGAAAAGATTGCTTTTGGCCTAGATGTACCATGGATGGAATTTGCTCACTGGTACTGAAAACTCCTTCAGAAAATGTCTCATACACACCCCAAAGGGAAGTCATTTCACTAACCTGTGATGGTTGTCTGCTTTGAGGTTGAGCTCCCTTTCTCTGCAAAGTGTCCACTGCTCCTTCCACTCTCTAAACGTTTTTTGAAGAATCTTCTGTTCATAAAAACATCTAAACAGTTGAAGGACATGGACAGAAGAAACGTCATACAGGTTTCCAGAATGACCACAAATCAGTTTTAAGGAAGATTACACCACCTCTTCTCCAGGCTTGCCTGATTAGCCTAACAACATCTAATTGCATTTAAAACCACTTCCCTACTGTGACACTTTATTTCAAGACCCTGTGAAGAACTGCAAGAAGCAAACACTCTACTGACTGTAAATACTTCACATAAAGACAAGGAATAAAGGACAGATGTTGTCAAACATCAGAGTACCAGCTGACTTGAGACCTATTCACATCTTTTGTCCTCAGTTCTGAGTTTTACTCTTAACAACCAGAACAGTAGATAACAATACATGTATTTTTCTTTCTAATTTTGTTCTTTGCTACTTTAACACAAAATATTTTATATATATAAATAAATACAAAAGCTAAAACAGATTTTATAATACTCTGATGTTTTTATCATGCAACAACAGCAGAATTATGCCCAGAACACATAGAGGTCTCTCAGTGAAACACATCAATCCTCTCACAAGCTGCAATTTACAGCCACCTACCCCAAGCCAAGCTGCTAAGCCATTCCAAGCACTCATGCAGAAAAGGAAAAAAGAAAAAAGAAATTAACTATGTGTTATTTTTTTTGGACTTGGTGTATTAACAGTATTGCACACGCATTAACAGGTATTACAGCTATGGAGAACTGGGGACTTTTAAATCTAGAAAGGCAATTCATTATTGCTTGTGTTCCTTGCTGGTCTTTATAAAACCTACTTCCCCTAAAAAATAATTTCATCATTGTGCTGACTTGAGAGACAGCCAAAGAAGTGCCAAGTCAGTAGATGGGACAAGAGGAATGGTGAGGTTCACAGGACAACTTCCATTTATCAACAAAGGCAGAAACAGAATATATTTGATACAGAAAAATGAAACTGAATGACTAAGGACCTGATCTTACTCCAAATCCATGTCCTCCCACTGGGAACTCCTTCAGCTCCCAAGGGTGTGGTCAAGCAAGAATGAACATGCAAATTAATGCAAAACAAGAAATGAATATCAAAGCATGGGGTTCCAGTAGCTCACAGAACACTGACAGCAGAAAGGAATTATCTGCCACAGGTATTTCCAAGTCAGACAGATACCACACACACACAGATACAGATTAAGAACAACAGTGCAAACAGTAATATTAACTGAATTTCAGTTCAGTTAGCTGAGTTAACTGTTAAGAGTTGGATCCATGTGGGTCCTTTCCAACTCAGAACAGTCTGTGAAATCTGTCATCATAACTCTGGGAAACAGTTAAATTTAAAGCAGGTATCCCAATCACATCCCATCATTTATATGCACATACTGGTTAACTTTATCAAAACACAGTTCCTATGAATTTGGTTAATAGAATTTTAACCATGATTATTAAAAACAAACAACAACAACAAAAAAAAAGAGCAAGAAAGGTACCCAAAGCAAATCTTCAAGTGATCTCAAAATACATCTAAATATTTTCTTGGCAGCCAGTACTCTCTTAGCCCAGTGGTTTACCACTAACCCATTAAAAAAAACCCAAAACAAAAAACCCAAAAACAAAACAAATTAATAAAAATACAAAACAAAAACCAAACAAAATAACTCCACCTCTGAGTTCTGTAATTTTATCTACCTGGCTTTGGAAGGGAGAACTTGTCCAAATGTTATTTTTGCCCACTGATAGAAAAACTTCCTTGCTAGGTATCTGGAATACAAGGAAAGATTAGTTGCCTTTGAACTCCTCCTCTGCAAATTCCCAGGCAGTACTGAAAATAGGAATTTTTATTAGTTTCAGTAATAAAAGCAAGGGTCTAGTTTTCAGAGATCAATGCATTTATGAAATATGTAGACCCTGAAATTAGTACCTGTAACAGAGCAATTCATAAAGCATAAAGAGGCCCAAGCAGAACTGCAAAACTTGAATTGGGATGTACTTCTTTAGGAATGCTGGGTAGCCAAAATGCCTTCCCAGCAGCCCTCTCCCACCCGTGGTACTCTGAGCAGGGTGCTGGCTGGCTGGGAGCCCTCTCTGAGGTTTCACTGTGCCAACATCACTGTTTCACCAGGTCAGCCAGCTGAGTCCAGAATACTTCAGCCAATCTAATGTCTAGCTCTTCCTGAAGCCAGGAAATCTTTTTTCTCCCCACCTTCCTCAGCAGTTCCACATCTCCACAGGCTTCTCCCAGCACCAGCTCAGCTCACTAATGTGTTACTGTGACCCTATCACCCTTCCCCTCTCTTTTCCCAATGGATTTCAGAGTTAGCTGGCACATGGAGGGCCCCAATAAGCACCAAAGGCTTCACAAGGTAATTAGTTACAGCACTCAGCCAGGAAGGGGGGCCTCGCTCCTTCAGCAGGTCTGAGCTGCTCAACAAATGATGGGCTTTTAATCTCTACACAATTACATCCCACCTTTGTCAAGGTTCTTTTAACAAACAAACAAAAAAAAAAAAAAACACTAGAAGAGGGCAAGAAGAAATCATGACCCCTGGCAGTGTATCAAAGGATATTATTAAATAGCCATTTTTAAAATTACCTTTGAAAGTAAAAAATACATTAAATCTGAGTGTCAATCTCGTCCTCAAGTTACCACAAAGCACCCTCAGAACTGTCTGTCATGGCCATGAACTAAAACTTCTGCTGCAACCTACACTGGTAGTACTAAACCCAGACATTTTCAGGTCTGATCCCCTGCTCCATTTAGTGAAAAATATGTTTAGTACTTATCACCTGCTTTGGAATTTTTTTAACATTCTTCTTTGACTCTGGGTACACCCATCTTGACCTGGCTTGTTGTGACCTCTGTCCTGAAATTCATGTGTTGCAGACTGGGGAGCAGCAGATTGTCCAGCTGCATGAACTTGGTGCTCGGGTGGTTGCTGGATCTCATCCATCTTCAGGGATTTTGAACTTAAAAGGAAAGAAGAAATATTTTGTGGAAAACTGTATTACCTGCAGAGAAGTGGCATTATTGCAATAGCTGGTCTGTAACAAAAGTATCTAATCAAACTCAGAAGACAGCTACAAAATGCTAAAACATTTGTTGTTTCTTTATCAGGTGCTTTTCAGTATCTGGAATTTTAAACTTTCCCCAACACAACCAGGAAGATACATTTCAGTGTGATCATGTCACAGACAATGCTTTTCTCCTCTAAAGCTGAAATGAGAAATCCCTGAAATGCATTTGTGTGTGCACAGAGTGTCTTGACAGAGAAGCTCTGACTGTGGTTCTCTGCCTTTTAGTCTCAAACACATCAAGGTATTCTGCCTACTGCTGATAAATTCTCTTCAGCACTAGTGAACTGAAGTGAGATTTCTATTTTAACACAAAATGCTCTTTTACAAGCTCTTTCCTAGTTTTGTTCATATTTTAACTGTATTTCTCCTTAAAAAAAAAAACAACTGAAAATCTCTTCCTGTTTTTACATATTCATCATTAAAAAACAAAATTAGACATATTTTTCTATCACACAGTTTACTTTCATGTGTAGTTCTAATCTGAAAAATAACAAGTGTGTTTTTATGAATTCTAAATGTTTTTTCTTGGTAATTTTCTGAAAACAAGGATAAAAAAACCCCCTATGCAGATAAAACTTGCTGCACCGGTTCCATTGAAGCCTCTTTCCCAAAACAAATGCTGCCACCACCCTGAAAATTTGCACACTAGAAACACAAACACATTCTTGAGTTCCAGAAGAGGCAACAGAAGAAGATAACCTGAAATCTCACTCTAACGATCTCCTGAACTGAGCTAGGGAAAACATGGCTGCAGCCAGAAGAAAATGTTGTTTTCACAAAGTGACTGGAACAATGCAAATTTCAAAAGTTCAACTGAATAACCACTATTAACAACAAATCACTGGGAGGAAATACAGTATTTTTGGTTTGTTCCAGCAGGCAAGAGTTAAAAATAAAAGTTAATGGAAGAAAACAAGACCTGTATTTTGTGTGAGAAATTCTTGTTCTATAGAATATTGTCTGAATGTTTCTGAAAGAGGCAGGCCCTGTCCAGCAGCCAAAAGAATTCTGTTCACATCAAGATGTGCAGTTAAGGCAACTCTAAGGCACCTCAATGCATGTCTGAAGAGGAGTTTCAGGCACTTTAAAATCAATGCAAAACAGTTTTCAGCACAAGTTCTTGTACACACCTATTAGGCCCAACTCCCTCTGAAACTATTTCATCTGCCCCCAAGGTAAACCTGATCTGACCATAGGCAATGCCAGCCTTACACAAAGGAACTGAAAAAATCAAACCTGGGTAAAACATGCAGAAGCTTTGTATCAAAGTTTAAGGTGTGAGAGTATCTAATAATTTTCCAACATATGTACTTTTTAAACAGATTATTTCTCTATTTGGAACATTGTTATGTGCTACACATATTTAATTATGACACCTATGTCCTCCAAAATTCATGGCAAGTGACCATGAAAAATAAAAGTCAAAGAAGGATCATTTCTCCCTTTTAAAGTTGGAAAACAAAAGCATGGGAAGAATAAGAGAACTGACATGGAGTAAATCTGTGCTTGGGCCAACAGCTGTGTCCAAGTTATGTTCCAGTCTAGTATTTCAAGCTCAAGAACATCAGTTTTATAAGTAAGTGTTATGATAATGTAAACCCACATAAAGTTGTTTCATGATCAGTTTGGGAGTTAGGTGTTCATTGTTTTTTACTTTGCTTTTAAGAGGAACATTTTCTGGCTAACAAAGTTCCACAGAGGCTAATAAGCCCTTCTGTGAGAGTAACTCAACTTCTGTCCCATGGAAATCTTAAGATGTCATAAATATAAAATAAATTACAGCCGAGGTCTTTAACATAGTAGCTTCTTATTACTGCTTACCTGCTCCTGAATTTCTCCATTTACTGTAGTTCCAAGCCTGCAGTACAAATGCACTCTCTGCTCTGCAGTGCTGTTTATTAACTTTGGACAAAGCATTAACTGGTGCCTGTCACTTGTGATGAGTCCAGCACATGGATCTGCACTAAATGCAGTCTGTATCATAAAAATGACAAGATTTCCACTCAGACTTATGCTGCATTCAAACATCACAATGCAATTCCAGATGTTTAACATGAAAAGCTTTTGCATCTCACTTAGCAACACTGTGCTGACTTAATCTAATGGTAATAAAGTTATAACTATTTGAATCCTAAGGCAGCAATTCTGCCCACCTAAACAAAAAATGTGCTAGAAAGGTGCTGTAAAAAGTAAACTACTCCAAGTTATGTGCCCCTACTTAAAAATAAATTAATAACCAAGGGTGACACCATCAGCAGCTGATTCCTTTTCACTTTTTTTTATTAATACTATGTTCCTCTCCTTCACAAGCACTTAGAAACGAAGAAAACAATGAGTTCCACCCAGCTCCAGCAAGAAGTTCTCCAAGCATGGAACCCTACAACTTCCCGGGAAGAGTCTGACTCTGTGAGAGTACCTGGAATTATGACCAGGCATCTCCTTTTAAGTGTGAGATCCAAAGTGGATTCTTCTATAAGCATTGGTTATGGTGTGATAGAACACCACACCCTCAAAACAAAAAAAACCAAAAAAAAACAAAAAAAAAAAAACAAACAACAAACAAAAAAAAAAAAAAAAAAACCAAAACAAAAACAACCAAACAACCAAACAAACAACAACAAACCAAAACACCAAAAACACAAAAAAAACCCCAAAACAAACAAACAAACAAAAAAAACCACTAAAAAAATACCAAAACCAAACAAAAGCAGCTTGAAAACGAAACAAAACCCTACAAGATTTTTCTGGTTTTACTGCACTGGATTCCCTTCAGCAGGCAAGTGTACCCTGAACGCTTGTTGTGTTTATGGACAAGTACTGCAGACCCACACGACGCCGCTCCACAACCCCGCCGTGAGGGGCCGCGGCAGCCGCCCCCGCCCCGCTGGGAGCACCACGGATCCCGGGACCGGCAGATACGGCACCGGCACACGAGACGAGCGGAAAGCAGCGGGGAAATCACCGCAATCGGGAGAGAAACGGAGGGAAGGACCGCCAGCGCCTGAGGCGGCCCCGCCATGAGGGGGGGGCGCTTCCCGCCCTGAGCAGGGCGCCCCCGTGCGGCGGGGCCGGGGGCTGACAGCGCCCCCGTGCGGCGGGGCCGGGGGCTGACAGCGCCCCCGTGCGGCGCGGCGGGGCCGGGCGCTGTCCCGGGAGCGGCCCCGGTGTGACCGGGATTTACCGACCGCAGGCACGGCCCGACCCGAGCAGGAACAGGGGCTGAACGGCGGCAGCACGGAGCTGTTGCTGCACTTGCGAACAATTGTGTTGTGCCACTGGACAGTTCTGCTGTGAGCATCGAGTAACGGGTATCTGTGGCAGATGTGCCTTTGGGAGCCAAAAAACCCGGTTTAGCTCACAACAGCGACGTGCACAAAGGTGACAGTGGAACACAACACAGCTCGGGGCTTCTCAAAGCCTGCAGCACCTCAGAATAACCACTCAGCCCGAGGCTGGCGGCCCGCTGGTTGCTATGGAGACTCCCTGTGTATTTCCTTGGAAAGCACTCGCGGGCTTCAGGAGACTTGGCAATAGTTACAGCGCTGTCTCATTAATAATGCAGCACTTTGTCACGAAAAAAGTGAGAAATGTACGTCTTGTATATTTCTCTTGTTCCATAGGTAACCAGATTTAAATTCTGGTATTCAAGTCTTCATTAGGGAAGAGAAGACTTTATTCACTAGATCCTTCACAAAATTCGTTGTTCCCACACAGACCTCGCTGCCCGAGGTGTTTGGAAACGCTGTGGGGCCCGGCTGGGCTCCTGTGGAGAGCTGTGGGCAAACGGAGCCCAGTAAACTCCTTAAAGTGATGTTGAAAACAATGTCTGCTCCTCACAAGCGAAAACGGAAAGACTTTTGCGGTGCCTCGGATCAGCTGCTCCGCGGACTGCACCAGCCTAGTCCCGCTATCCCACAGAACGCCAGCCTCCCACACCGGGACGCTGCCCTCACCCTGCCGGGCTGGGCGGGCTCGGCCGGGCCGCCGCTCCCGGGCAGCCCCCGAGCCCACCTCAGCCGCGATCGCCCCGCCGCTTCCCGCCCTTCTCTGACGCCGCGCTGCCCCTGACAGAGAGGGGACACGGCGACGGTCCCGGCGCACGGACGGGCCGATCCCGCCGCCGCCCCGCACGCGGCGCGCACCGCATCCCCGCAGGGCTGCCCGCCCAGACTGCCTGCAGGCCCTCACCGAGCCCCGCGCCTCTCCTCACGCACCGCGCCGCTGGCAGGGCGAGACGCCGGTTCCGCGGGCGGCCGGCGGCGGGGGGCGCGGGGCG